GAAAAAATAAAAGCGAACATAAGCACAGGAAACAAAATCTTTGGTAAGCAAATGTAACAATTCATCCATAAAAATAATGTGTAACTAAGAAGATTGACGTTTTAGTCGTACAAAACGGCATTATAGTCGTGTAAAACAAAGGCAAAGAAAGACAAAAAAGCGTGCTGCAAGTGCAAATTGTTTTTGCTAATTAGATCTATTGATCTTGATGCCATTTCCAGTGCCGTCCCCGTTTAGCATTACACGATCTGATATTTTTTTGTCTACAAGTATTTTTAACCAGAGGTTCGCTTTTAGCCCTGACTAACTCTATATATTAAGTTATAAGCATCATAGTCCGGCGACTTAGCTAGAAAATTATGCGATTTTTGATACAACCGCCAAACTTTGTAGGAATATTCACACTCCCAGGATAACGAATTTTTTATTTTTTCATTCAAATCTACACATCAAGCAATGACTTTTCCCGAAGGATTTTTTTGATTCCGACGAACACCGATTTTGTATGATTTTTTTTAAGTCTTCGAAATTTGCCACCATTTTGTTCCACCATTCGCATTAGTCTCCTCTCGGTTGGACTGGAGCCGTGACGTAGGTTCAGGAACTCTTATTGTTCTCAAGCCAAGTGATTTGGTGGTATCTTTCTCGATCGTGGAAAATATACCGTGCAAAATGAGAGATGTGTTGCAGCACGTTACATCAACGTATCCGTATCGGCGTATTCTAAGAAGAATCAGTTTCGATGCATATATAAGATTCCATTGTTTGGGGAGAAATGCCCGATAAAGAAAAAAAGGAGAAAGAGGTAGATCAATTTCGTGTTGGGGAGGTGAAAGACGTGGGTGCCGGGGAAGACGTTTTATTTCAAAATACAGGTACAGCAATGCAAATCATGTTTAAATTTGGATGGAAATTGTGATTGTTATTTTCCTCTCTTCATATATACAAATGCAGGCCATATTTTGGAATTTATCTGCACATGCTTTTTCTCTCTTTTCTCTTGGTTGAGTTGGTTTCGTGGGTAAGAGGTTTTACTATCTCGTTCTAAATATGCATGCGACTCGGTTTTGGTAGAAAAAAAACTATTCTGATTAGTCATATAAGTTAAAAGAGACAGTCGGTTTAAAAAAATGAAGTAAGATATAGGTTGATTTGAAGACGAAGGAAACAGATCGCTGCCTCAAGCAATTGACTGGTTACAGGGTGTTCCATATTATCAAGTATTTTTCTATGCGGCAAAGATCTCTTCGCGATACGTTCAACAGGACAAAACCGGATCGCATGACGAAAAGAAAACATTCCTGTAACTAATCCACAGCATCAAACGTACACGGTCAAGAATGCGTCTGTTTGCACGGGGAAAAAGCAGACATTAAAATGATATTCCACGTAACTGATGCAGTAGAAAATATGATTCAAAATTTCATGCTTTTTTTCGCTCCATTTGTTCACTATCTTGGAGCCTGGAACAGGCTTATTTATACTTGAAGGAATTTTGATTGTCCGATGGGACAGGAAATATCCTACCGACACTCTTTCTAAAGGCCTTTGGTGCATCTAAGTCGGCGTTTCTCCTTGTCTTGCATGCCCTAACAGTGTGTGATACAGCTTCCTTCTCCGCTGGTCATAGAATTGTCATTGAAAGGAATTGCGAAGCATTGTTATTAATAAAATAATGAAGAAAAATAAGAATCACCGTGCTTGTTTTTGCGGTAGAGCTGCAGATAGTGCGCACCACCTGCATTTCTTGCAATTGGGGCGCGTTTCAAAGAGGCATGTACGTGGAAGGTGGAAGAAAGCATTGAAAAATTCGATTTTATGGAATCTACATGGAGGTAAAGCAATTAAACCATAATGCCATAAAGGTGAAGCTTACATGTCATGAGAGTGGTTCAGCACAACATCTACTATCGAAGGCCTCGGTGAGGAAGTAGCTGAAGTTTAACTCAGTAACAAGCGCCGTGACCGCTTACGTAAGGCACATTTCTAACACTTTGAGACTCATCTCAACAAGAAAAAAAGACTGCTACGGAAAATTCCAATAATATTTTTCTTCGATCGACATCATTTTCATCATGTTTCTGCAGAAGCTCTTTTTCACGGCGGCCATCTGGTTATGCGCAGTGAGGGATGCACAGTGGCAAAACTAGAGAAAAACCTTAAGTTTATTCCGGTCCGTAACGAAAATGTGAAATTAATTAGGTAGTGAAGCCATGTGCAAAGATATTAGTTGTATTAGAGATAATAATCAAACCAACTAAAGGCACATTAATTTTATTCAGTCGTTGTATTTTTAGTTTCCTTTTGTTTGCCGTTGCCATGGCATCCGTGGTTAAGGTGCAATAACGTGTTATAAGACTTATAAACAAGATGTACGTGGTAAACAGATTGGTTGACGGAGTGAAACAATACCATGTCTTGATAAACTAGGACAAATAATTCAATGAATTAAATTCATTAATTTCTTATGAATTTTAATAAATTGCGGTTTCTATGGAAACCGACGTAATTCCGGCTTGGCACTATATCTGAAATTGCTTGTATTGGTGACTACTATCAGTGTGCCAAATTGCAAATTTCATACTTGTGTATCTAAAAGTGCACAATTCACTTAAAATTTCTAGCTAAGTCGCCGGACTATTATAAATGAAAACAGATTACAGCAAAATAAAGGACAGAACAAATATTAGCGTGAGCAATGAGAAAACGAAATTCAGTCATTAAAATAACAAAGTGGTTTATGAGGTCCTTCAGTAGGACCTGGGTGGCATTTAAAACGTCGGTGATGATGATGAGGATGTCTACCGTAAGGTCCTGGGCCTGGTTGATCCGTTAGGCGACACACCAGCCCGTCCTGACAGGCATGTCGACATTTTCCCTACAGTAAAATAACAATAAAAATTAAAGCGTATAAAGAATATATGCGACGGCAGGAAATTGATCAGTAAAAACAAACATGGAAACCAGGGTACGCTCACTAACGCTTTAAATAACCTTACATTTAAACGACATGGCTGACCAAGGCTCCTCTTAGCGAAACATCTTGTAATTAACTACCAGTACTTATCACAACACTGGCCAGTTCCGCAGTCATCATCGTCTTTGCAATAAGGTTAAAATAATATGTTAAACGACATGAATTTGTTCAAGCCTAAAGTTTTCTGAGCTTCTCTGGTAGAACTCTTTAGTTGCTGCCCAAAGTTCGTTTCATTAAGAAGCAGTTTATGACCCAGAATTATTTTAAGCTGAACGTTTTATCTGTAACCCTATCAATTGTTAAAATTTCTACTTTACTTTGGAGACAGAAAAGCCTTTTTTTAATCTTTCATCGCAACAAAAGAAAGCTAATAAGCAATCTTATATTACCCGTTTTAAGTGATGACGAGATTCATGTTCCTGTTCATCTTCAAAAAACACGCCCTCCGATTCGTCCTCTACGAATGATTCAACGACGAAAACGACACCAAGCAAACGCCTAAAAAGAATACAAACTTCATGTTGCTTACAGTGCAACGAATCAGAGAGTGATTTTTAAGACCAAGTTAACTTAAAGTAAGTTGGATTAGTTCCAAATTTCCCTCTTTTATAGCGTTTATCATCAAGAAATTTAATTTTTGATATTTCAGAGCAAAACATTTTATCAGCTGATTACCACGATTTTTGTACCTACAGTGATGTAGCCTTTTTAAGGGGGAAATAACATCTGTACCAGCTGGTGCCGGTAACTTGCTCTTTTTATTGCTTACCGTGTCAAATTCAATGATCCTTTTAAGGTTTTTAATGTCTTCCTCTAATGGCCCCCTTTTTATTTAACCTTTGATTTGACGCAGTCAAATAAGAAGAGGAGGTAAATAAGACAAGAACAAGTGAACGCGTCAACAGGCTTAAAAAAATCGACTAAGACGTCACTCTGTGTTTGGTCAGCCTCTCCATTCTAACTAGAGATGGCTGATAGCCTGTTCCTACGGAGGGCCGGGTTATCAAGTGTTTTGATCCAATATCCGATGCTATAGCATAGCCATTTCATTTAATCTTAAGGTGAATGAGGCATCATTGGAGGTATAAATTTTGCCAAAGGACCTTACTTGCAAACGACGTCTTAAGTCTTGAGTCAATTTTACCGAAACTGTTGATTAACAAGCTAAAAGATCGTTAAGTAAGCGACGTTAATGTAACTATTTGAGAACATTTTAAAATTAGCTTGATGTTCACGTTAATGGGGCGTTTCCATAGTAACCGATCTTTGACAGCCAAATTTAGCAAAATGTTTCAATTTCAATTTCTAATTTTATTATTACTTTATACTTGCCTTGGCATTAGTTTTAACACTTTGGTATGTACAGTTTTAAGAAAAGGTAATAAAATGACAAAATTAAAACCGTTGAGTTGAATTTACCACAACAGGTTCATTTCTCTGTAAATTTTATTACTTAGGCTTTTGTTTTCCGCTTTTAAAACATTCTCTTCTGTACAAATCGAGTTACCTCTATTTATAAGGCTATTAAAAAATGAGCAAATTTGGAAGTGAGTCGGAACTGGGGAAATGTCAAAAAATTTTACACTTGCTAATGCCTCGGAACTGTTGCTTGAAAAAGTACTACCAGAAGGATTAAAATCCATCAAGATTGCTTGGTAGAATTAACATGCCTAAATCTTCTGAAAATGCCGAGGATTTGGCAATTAGGAAATTATGATCCGACAAGGAAATGCCACAAAACTGGAATAAAAGAAACTGAAAGAAACCAAAAAAAAAAACTGACCTCGCGTTTTTTAAAACTTTTTCGCCATTAATCTAACTTGTTTAGTTATTTAAAAATATGGCAGTTTACGTTTGGGCTGAAGAGAGGGAGAGGGGAGCATGTCTGAGCTCAGGTAGATATTACTAACAGTACAATTAATTTTACACCTTTTATAAGTTTACCACTTTTTATTAAACTCTTTTCCAGTCTACAGTACACTAAAATGGCCCAAATGCCGATCATCTGCAGAGTGTTTACTACCTACAAGTCGTAATCTCCTGAGCCTGGCTCCTCAGTAGGAGGGGGAGCGGCTTTGAAGCATTTGTATCGACCAAACAAAACGCTGCTAGTTCTTCGGCATTCAAGGTCCTTTCCGCATCGGAGGAAGTTGCAATACCTCTGTTAGAAAAATAAAAAAATCCACTACTTTAGGAAGTATAATTTAAAGTAAAACGTAGACTAAAACCTTGTTTCCTATACATTGCATTGTCTTCTGAAAAAAGTTCTGTCAATGATCGTTGTAGTTAAATGGGAATAATTCTTCAACGATCGTCGCGGTCTCCGAGATAAGTACTTTGCGACAAAGATCTCTGAGACAGAGTTCAGTTCTATTACTAACTGGTGTCCTTATAATAATTGACGGTCAGCTAATTCTCGGACTTTCTTCAGCGACCACAGCCGCGACAAAGTAACTAACTCCTACTATCATACCTGATATTATTATATTACTCTTTACAGCCTCATAGAAAAATCAATCGACAGAGTACCTACATGCATCAGAAGAACCAAATTAGCATCCAGAGACATGTTTAAACAATGTTAACTGACTTACAGACTTAAAACTGCAGGTTTGTCCTTCCCCCGCCGTTCGCCGTATGCGTTTGCATTTGGCAATGAAGCCAAAATAATCTGCGCAACAATGTCCACTTCCACAATCCGCGTCCGACTTGCACTGAAAGGGAAATGTTTGGGCGCGTATTCAGGGCCATTTTGTGATAAAGAACAATGATGATTATTTATCGTGCATGGGATGTTATTAAAAATACACAAACAAGTAACGCGTTTACTGTTTTCGTCCACTAGTGGATTCGTATATAAAGAGGATACGTTGGCTCTCCAATTTAATAAACGGATACTGAATATAGTTTGGTGTAGACTGCAACTGAGTAGTGATTCCGTTTTGTATCATGACTCGAACAGCTTTAGAGATCAGTTGGGCCCAGTTGTTCGAAAGGTGGATAACGCTATCCACTGAATAAATCTCTATATATCCTGTGGATAAAGGATTTGGCTTTCCTAAAACTTATCCTTTCGATAGTGATTTATCCATTGAATAGCGCTATCCAACGTTTGAGCAACCGGGCCCTGAAGGACATTAAATAAAACGTCAGGAATGTTTTAGGATTGTTTCTAGATAAATATTCTTAGTAACCGTTTCATTACTTGAAATAGCCACAGATGACGAGAGGATACTCATTCTGAAGCAAAGTCTCGCCAGTGCCTCTTTAAAAGGTAAAAGCCGCAGTTGGATTTAATTTCGCTAAATCAAATCCTTTTTTCGACTTTCCTTTCCGTGCAGCTTTAAAGCCCCGTGCAAACGAACGCAACATTTGTTGGATGTTACATGCGGCGTCCGTTTGCACGCCCTGTTGCATGAGGTTGCGTCAGAATTTTGGGAGTTGTTGCGCAAAGTTAGAAACCGTTCAAACTTTTAGCCACGTGCAAACAGACGCCACAACTCCCAACATTGTTAGGCACAACAATGTTGGGAGTTGTGGCGTCCGTTTGCACCCAGCTAAGAGGCTTTAAACACCCGTAAAAGGGAGCACTGATGGAGTATGGGAGTGAAATGACCGCATCGTCGGTTGCAGGTTTGTTAGTCAGATGATCACCATCCTGAGCTACCGACGAAAAGTAAAAAACCTTTTAAAAAACCTTAGCTAACCTTAGTTAGTTTACTCTTTTGGTGAAAGCATTCCTCTTATTATGCACTAGTCTTTCTCTCTTTCCAGTCTAGTCTTGCTTTGCGCTTTCACTTTATAGCTGTCTTGTTATGCTTACAACAAATATCTCCTTGATCTGATAAATACTGTTTATTACAGCTCCGTCATTAATAGGGATACTTGAACTGTGGTAATCAGGTTTTAACACAATTAATTGCGGAAGAGCATCTTATTAAAAGCCCGTGAGATCTCTTGGGCATCCTCAGTCACCACTAGGTTTCAGTCTTTTTTTGTTAGCCTTGTAATTATTTAAAAAGAGTGCCAACCTGTTAATACCTTGAAACGTAAAACTTGAAGTTTTCTCATCAGACCCAAGAAGTAACGTTTCGATTCGTTAGTTTAAGTTTGCAAGTTAATTCTTCCGAGCACCTTTGGTAGTCTTTATAAAAGAAACAAGAAACTTAAAAGTTTTATACAAGAAACGTGGAAAAAACTTAGATCACAGAACATTGACATAAAGGCTTTGGATGTAACCCCTTTTTTACATATTTTTTTAAACCCATACAGCCTCAGGCCTTTCGTGAAGCTACTTACCCTTTTAATTAAGTGTCTTTGATCCATTTCCTCTTCATCTTCGATGAATTCCGCCTTCCCCTCTAAGCATTCGACAACGAAAACGAGCGTCAGGCAAACTCCTACAACGAAAAGAAGTCTCATTTTCTCGTTCCAGCTTCAAGAACTGCCAATGAGAATATTGATAATCACACTACGTGTTTTTTCATTTTTAATTATGTGATTCAATCAAAAAGCAAACACAGAAGGGCTAACAAGTCTTTTTCTTTTTTGTGGGAATACAAAAAAGAATACTCAGGGGTTGTTTATAAGCTAAAAAAGCTGAAGCAATATGTACACTTAGTGCTAATAGCTCATGTTCAACATGTCCGCCTTCATGACAGTGGATCTTTTTAATGTAAATTCAGGAGAGCACAAGGCTCTGCTGAAAGGAACTTGAAAGTTGATACAAATTTCAGTGGCTTTCAGTTTGTTTGATCTGAGAGTAAAACCTAAAACAGATGTAATTTTAATTAAAGAAAAATAGTCTCTAGTAAGTTTAGTGATGGTAAATCTAAGGATAGAATCTGAATCTCTTTAATTGTGAATACCAAAAAGGGAAAGGATTTGAAAAAGAAGGTGAAAACATGCCTTATAAATTATCCGCAGGTAAATTGAGTGGTGATTTATTTTTCTATCCAGACGACAAAAAAACAGAAGAGTCAAGAATCACAACACTAATGCAGCTTTTGTGATCGTGAAAAGAAAGAGAAAATCAAATATTTCTCTAATTGTCACTGATTCGGTAGAATTGTTTTAAAAAAAAGCAAACACAAAAAAGGAAGCTTAACAATTCTGGAAAAAGGTGAAGTGATAAAGACAATCAAATATATCCATTTCGTTTTAAAAAAAAAATTTCAAGTGAAATCGTTTACGATAAAAACAATATAAGAAAATGTACCAGCAGGTTGATTTGAAAAGTAATTAAATCCGTAGTGAGTCTTGATCCGAAGGCGAATTATCCAAGACTGATTCATTTTGGTATAAATTGAACTTCTTATTGTTAGTTCACACGGCAGTGTGGAAACAAGAGTGTTTAGACAGTGTAGAACATTATTTTAGTTAAATAAACATTACATATAGATCAAAATAACGAAAAATATAACAGTTCATTTTCGGTGAATTAGCTGGTTCAGTAGTGGAAGAAATTTAACAAATCTTGTTTAGAAAACTGCTTTTCATGATACTATGTCAAAACGGAAGCGATTTAAGTATAATTTGTATTTTTAAAGCCCAAAGTTTTCCGCTAAAATGTATTGTAGTTTCAGAGCATGCTTGTTGACAAAAGAAACTTAATGATCACAAACTAAATCGTTTTCAGTCCTTTTTTTCCATCACGTTTTGCTTGTTTCATTTTATATTGCTGTTCCAAGGAATTTTAATCAGCTAATTTTCTTTCAAATGAGATTTTGTTAGGGCTCATTAAGTTCTCTGAAACTATCTGAAAAGTCAACAATCATTAGGTTCGTTTACCCTAAGCTCCCCTTGGGAGAATAGCTTGAGAGTGGGTTCGCTCTGGGTTTGATTCATTTTCATGTTTGCGGTTACTCAGTGATAAATTGCCTAAGGGGATGAAAAAAAAATTGAACACGTTTTCGCGGTAAATGAACGGAGCCGTTGAGACTTAAAACCGAAAACGTCACGTTTTCGCGGTAAATGAACGGAGCCGTTGAGACTTAAAACCGAAAACGTCTACTTCATTCGCGTTGAAACGAACGGCAAATACTCGCTCAAAGGTCAAACGTATAGTGTAGTTAAGTACTGGTTTACAAAAATGGTTCCAACGACTCCATCAGGAAATTATTCTCGAAGACTGATGTAAAGAAAACATGCGTGTGTTTTAAGTGGCGTTCAAAATCCTGTTATGTGCGGAACTTTTGAGCCAAGTTTCACATAGCATTTGGCCTCAAGACGATCACAGCACGTAAAATTCACGTGGTTTCTATTGAATCGTACATTTTATTTTGTCGTAATTGGTTGAGCCGCTTTGGGTTCTTATTAAACCCATAGAACTTACCTTAGGAACTGTCATGGGCAATTCTTTTGTCCATGTAACTATGGAAACTTCCCAGAGACAATCTCTCCTTGAAGAAATCGGTCACACACAAAAGGTTGCTTCCCCGTGAGCAAGAACCCTTTGCCCATGAGTAAAATGGCTAGTGTAACCGCACCTATCAGCTGAACGCGGTGACAGAACAGAACCTTTATACCGCTTCCTCAGCCTCGTCCCCGGGTGAGCGGAGGAGGCATAGAACCGAGCGCGACAGCGAATTCCAAGTTTCAAAAATTCTCACTTTCAAAACGAGGTTAGCGCAAAACCTTTCTAGTGAAAATGAATTTATTTACGGGAGAAAAAAAAATCATTTTTATATCAATTGCCTATTAGAACGAATGGGGGCAACTTTTATTATCAATTTCGTCTCATTGATATAGGCCCAGGTTCGCCTAAAACGAATGGGAGTTTACCCATTCGTTTTTAGATTCGAGTCATTTTTGCTGTATTTTAACAAGTTTACTTTTTTCTGTGCAGTGTCCTGTTGAAAACCACATTATGTGATATAGGCCATCTGTAAAAAGAACTTTATTATTATCAATTGGCTAGGTAAAGGCAATTAAAAACGCGGATATAGGCCCAGGTTCAGTTCTCAGCAAAAGAGGCGAAAAAACTGAAGACTGCAAAATTAAAAACAGGCTTGTAAAAAGAGAGTTCAAAGCAAACCATTCATTCTTAGTTCAGTAAATTCATGCCATTTTTAATATTAGATCTTTTTGTCAGCTGCCAGTTTTAGTTATTGCTGAAAACTGAGATCACATCGATCGGATAAATATTTATAACAACAAGTTTACTTTTTTGGAACCTGTGCTTTTCCTCGCCTTTTTTCTAATCAGAATTTGCACAAAACGGGCTTGGAATTATTCCCTAATTTCATGGTCACCTTTTGATTAGATATAGAGTGGAACCTTTTCTTTTAGACACCTCTAAACAAGGAACACATCTATTAAGGGGACACAAAATTTGGTCCCTGAAAATTGTTTTCATAGTCTCTACAGGGAATAGGGAGACTTTTTCTGGTTACCAAAACCCGGGTGTAACCTCATTCAAGGGACAACGTAGCACTCAAAAAGTGACAGACCAAAAAAATCGTTGATAGGTTAAGTCTTTCACTAGTCACAATGGCAAAAGCTTTCAAAATATGAACTATCTCATTTAAATCGATGTACTACACTTGTAGGAATTCAACAAACAACATCGCTGAGAAAATTTAATCGTGATTTTTCATACATTATCTAGCTGCTTGAAATTATGACTGCAGCAGATTCCGAGGCAGAACGAAAGATTTAAATATTCTATTTTTTACCTAGTTGTCAACAAACCTCAGCCCAACCTCCATGCAGGGAACACTTGCCTTGATTGCGAGGGAGTCCCCTGAATAGAGGGTCCATTGTACGTATGATATAGAATAAAAGATAACTACTGTAGTTCTAAAATTTTAATTCAAGAAACCGTGGTTATAAGCTGAGAAATTCAGCCTGATGCAATTTTACGGATTCCAAGAATAAACACTACCACCTATGGGAAACACAGTATTAAATATATTGGCCCTGTAATATGTTCCAAATTATGTATACACATTAAGAGTTTTTAGCACTTGCTTCTTTTAAGAACAAGGTGAGAAAAGTGGACGCTGAGAACCCCGGGTGAGAACCTCATTACCTGCAAGAACTACCACCTGACTCCATGTAAGTTAGGCATTTGACACAATAATAAAATCTTTATTTTATTATTATTATTATTATTATTATTATTATTATTATTACTTGTTATACTCATTTAACAATGCTATACAATGTGTGACCTCTGCTACTGGGTAGTGAAAAGTGATTTAGGTGACTAATAATGTGTAATTTAGTATTTCACGCATAACTGACTCCTCCTCATTGCTAGGCTTGAAGTTTGCGCCGAACTAAGGGCGTACGTATAGCTAAGGGATGGATATTTAATAGACAGTGTCCTTCTCTGGACTGATTCAAGCTTATCGGAAAGGAAGACAGGAATGTCCTTCCACACTTGAGCACCATATTCTAAAATAGATCTTATGGTGGTTAAGTAGTCTTTAAGCCGGATTAGTTTACTAGGTACTCCTGCTTTCCTTAATACTCGCAATGAGAATAGGCGCTTTGAAGCCTTCTTAAAAATAAATTCGATGTGATAGTTCCACCTTAGATCGTTACTGATATACACTTCGAGGAGTTTATAGACGGGGACGCGATCCACAACGTTATTGTTATTGAAAAATTATGGGTGACAATACAAAGTTATATAGCTGAAATTTGTTTCCAGTACCGCGCGCTCTCATTGGGTACTACGAGGAGGTCATAAAAATCTTTAAGCGGGCAACATTGCAAAATCTGTGACGTTCCCCGCCTCCGATTCACTTCGGTGAGGTATTTGAAATATATTATATATTAAAAGCTGCGGAATGAAATCAAATGATTCATTTGATTTCATTCCCGCAGTTCTTATATGATTTATTTCATGTACATCTTTCACATTCATCTCTTTCACGGGAACATATAAACACATAACTGACCAGCTTCCGACATCAGTCGCCTCATTGCTCAGTTGGTTAGAGTATCGCACAGGTATCGCCAGGTTACAGGTTCAAATCCCGTTGAAGCTCCTGAATTTTTTTTCAGGCTTCTTACGCAATTGCATAAATTGCGTTCACAACTGCGAGGATCCTTCTTCAATTGATTTCATTTCCATAGTTCTTATATGATTTATTTCATGTACATCTTTCACAGTATTAAATGTATCAATGAAAGAACATACAAAAACAGACAGAGAAATTATTTCTCGCAAAATTTTATTTAGAAACCCATAAATCATTAAAAGCAAATCACGTAACACTTTTTTTTGCCTTACTTTTGGGGTTTTTTGTTTAGGTCTTCGCCTGGACCACGTGACCCGAAAATAAATTGGCCGCGCGGAATAATGGGGCCTAGGGACTAGACAACGTTACAGCGAGGTTTAATGAATTTCCAGCTGTAAAACAAATCTCTTAAAGACTGGTCCCTCGGGAAACAGTTAACTTCGTTTCCCTCGAATCTCA